AAAAAAAAAAAAAAAAAAAAAAAAAAAAAAAAAAAAAAAAAAAAAAAAAAAAAAAAGGTTCACGGCGGTTGGCGAGGTTGAGATCCAGGCAACTCAGAGACTCCTGGACATCCGTCCCACCTTCTTCACCCGAATACAACGTCTGGTCATTATTCTTGTATTAAATGTATTTACTATTTAATTTACTATTTAATTTACTATTTAATTTACTATTTAGAATTTTAGACAGAAAGATACTTAGAAGTCTTAGATACCCCAAATAGAGAGCTATAATGACCGTTGTCGTATTCCGGTGAAGAAGCTAGTGACATAGATTCAGACAAGGAAAACATAAAGAAACGGGATAAGAAGGCAAACAAAGAAGAAGAAAACAATAGAAGGGGAAAAAATGGAAAGTAAAAAAGGAGGGAACTTTGAGTATGTACTTCCGCCGAACGCGCACTGAGAACGGTATATAATATATTATTATAATATATAATATATATATATTGTCACAGAACTATTGACTAAGAGCGTAAGCACGTGAAGTAGAAGAAGAAATAAGATGAGCAAAGAAAAGAAAAATGAAAGGACAGACAGGCAAAGAGACAGACAAACCAGAATGACACAAAACAGTGTCCTCTTATTGTTTGTTTCACAGTATTATTATTTCTTTCAGTGTTTTACGAAAAAAAAATTACACTGAATCAAAAGATAAAAATAAAAAACAAAGACACGTTGAAATCATTCAGTTTCTCAGTCTTCTTAACGCCTCTTCCACTATGCCTCTAACGTACAAGGCTCGCCACGTTGATGAAGTTGAGCGCGAGCTGCCCCCATCCCCCTATGCCATAACAGCCCACTTGCACGCTATGGGAAAGAGGCCAAGTGAAGGAAGAGGTGTTAAACACAAGGAAGAGAGGAGCAGAAAAGGAAAACCGATAGGCAGAGGGAGAAAAAACAAAAAAAAGTGACCCAAACATCTTCTTTCTTTCACTGCATTTTTCTTTCTTTCACAGTTTTGCAGTTTTGGTGAAGAGTCTACCACGTTCGCTTTTCAGCGCACCTGCACTTCCTTCTTCTTTTCTCATCTGCATTTTCACCCTTCGGACTTTTCTTTTGAGGGTGTTAGGGTGCAGGGTACAAACAAAGCAAGATGACACATTACTGCATTCTTCACAGTTTTGCAGTTTTAGTAAAGGGTTCCCCACCTTTGCACATTCTTGTACACTCTTTTCAGCGCACCTGCACATTTTTGTCAGGGTGCAAGGCACGTCTAAGTAAGACCCTCATGACAGATAGGACAACTGTCATAAGGATGCGGGCGATGGTAGCAGCCCTCCCGCTGATCTACAGGACGAAAACCATTCAGGCAAGCAACTTTGTCACAGCAGGAGCCAGGGCGGCTAGCATTAACCATAACTCTGAAGCATGCACGACAGAGGGCATGCCGGTTGCAGGCCATGACGATTGTGGGGCGTTCACCATCACAGTTAAGTGCACATTCACTATAGCGCCCGCAGGCACAGATGGGACATACTGCATCTGGATGTAGAGGATGTTCACAATCCGGATACAGGTGGCATCCCTGCCAACAGCGGGCCCAAAAAATTCTACGGTTGTAGTGATGTCGACAAAGTCGATGCTTTCCACAACCAAGTGTAACTGTGTCAGTGATCTCACAAAGAAGGAGGTCACAAGGTGTTAGTGCAGCATGTGGGGGAATGAAGACTAAAGCAGGCACGGTGACAGACATGGAGGTAGGCACGGAGACAGACACAGAAACGGGCATGGAGACAGGTGTGGAGGCAGGCACAGAGACAGGTGCAGAGGCGGGGACGGAAGTACACGTAGTACCCACAAAGTCAGTAATCCGGAAGGAGACAGACACAGAAACAGGCACAGAGACAGGTACGGAAACAGGCACAGAGACAGGTACGGAGGCAGGCACAGAGATAGGCGTAGAGGCGGGCATGGAAGTACACGAGGTACCCATAGGGTCAATGACCTGGAACAGTTGCAGGTTAGCCTGGTTAGGGTAATTACGCACGAGATCACAGATGGCAGTAATAGTTTGCACCATAGCTCCGCCATTCCATAATTCCCAAGAACCAGAGGCACGGCCAAGAGCGGTGTAGTGGCCAGGAGTATGTAGAATATAGGCACAAACGTGCGAACAGTGGTCCGGGTCGCCACCCAAAGGGGCACGCTGCATATCAAGCCGGCGCCTTATCAAAGCAGTATATATTGTTGCATAAAAGTTTTCCAGCTTTTTGAACAACATTCTTTTCACAAATGCACATTAGCAAGTGGTGYTTGGACAGCAGAAACGTTCCRCTGCACTATTTCTAAAAATGAAACCTAATTATTGCAAGTCGTTCGTTGTCCACCCAGACGTTGGAAGAAGCAGTGCGTTATTCCTTCTTCATCTCCATTGTTTTTTTTTTTTCAATTCCCGTTTCACACAGTCGCATATCAAATGCTGTCACTTCCTTCTCTGATCGTGACCCCCTGCTTGCCATTCCCTATTGCCTTCATCAATTGTTTTGTGCTGACCTCCTTTTCTCTAGCCCTCATCCTCTGAGATCTCCTGCTCATCTTCTGTCTGTCTGTCTGTCTGTCTGTCTGTCTGTCTGTCTGTCTGTATGTGCAAGGAAGATGAGCAATAGCGAACTTCAGCAATCAAACAGCATCATACATATGAGTCCAGATAGTCGTGACCTCGAACCAACAGCAGAATTGCATCACGAGATTCACCAAATAAGAACACACCAAGAGTTCAGAATTGACGATGCTGAAATAGTCCCATCATCATCATCAACGAAGAACCAGAGTTGATATCCTATCTGGCGCTCGGCGCCCAGACTACATGTGGCAGATCCTATCTAGCCTATACTACAATGCCGAAGTTGACGACAACAGCTCTCCCGAAGTATGAGCATACARCRACCAATGTCGCTCGCTTCCAGCACCAGGTATGTCTCTCGCCTTACTCACAACCTCGTTCCCCAACACACAGATGCCACTTGCACCCAAGGACCACCCTGCGCCACACACAGCTAACAGCAGCGCAGCTTGGCTATGGCTGCCTGCTCCTTCCCTGCTCGCCCGTGAGCACATAGGCGCCAGCCAGCTATTAGCGCAGCAGCAGCGCTTGCGCAGCATGCAGCCAGCACCCGAATGCCGAATGAGGAGGCAGGCCCTTTGCTATATCGAAGTGGCCTGCCTGCGTCCAGTCCCAGGAAGCTTCCAGTAGGCCCCTGCAGCCTGGGGCCCCGCATGTTCGAGAACAGGCCTTGGGGCTGAGTTGGTTGCATGCGCCCAACTGCCTTTGGCCTGTGTTCGGCCCAGTACCCGTATCCAGCCAAGGGCCTGCTTTCCATACATTCACACAGGCGGCCCAGGACCTGGGTTCTCTCAACCAACTGGCGCTGCGCAACTGCCTGAATTTCCTTGAGTTGCGCAGAGGCCGAAATAAGGCCCTGAGGGGCCTCATCGAGCCTGCCTTCACTTAGGGCGGCCGACAGGCTCCCAAAAAGGGGCTGAATGAGGCTCATAGAGGCAGTGGCCTCGGATATGTCTGTTACCCTCCCTTCTCTCTCTCTCTCTCTCTCTCTCTCTCTCTCTCTCTCTCTCTCTCTCTCTCTCTCTCTCTCTCTCTGTGTGTGTGTGTGTGTGTG